TCTTTCAATTTTAATTGAAGCATAGTAGTTTATACAACAATTTTGCTTTGTTATTTACATTACTATTTGCTCCAATTTCATTTCCCTTTTTTTTTTGTCCTTTTCTACTTTGTTAGCCTCCTTCTAGAGGAATAATTTAGTCCTCTAAGGCATAAAAAGAATTTAGAGATAACCTTACACTTTGTTTTTCAATCACATGAATAATCACAATTTTAAAAGTTTACGTCGGTTTGAATTGGTGAGGTCATAGTATTTTGAGTTATTAATTTAGCGCACATGTCCACGATCCAAAATACAGCAAAACAATTGAAATTAGATTTGAATAAATAGAATCCATTTGACATGATTAGTTTTAACCCCACTGACATAATTGGTGCAAAAGCAAATTGTGATAGTAGATAATGTCGACCATACGCAAGACAATGAATTAAGATAAAAGTTTTCAGTTAATTATGCATCCCTTCACTGAACCCACTTGCAGTTTTTAGTTGCAAACCAATACAATGTTGTTTAGACTTTGACGTTCAAGTGAGTTGTCGCAGCGAAAACCTTTTGAGGCAACTAAACAATAATGCTCCGTTTGGTATGATAAAAAAATGGAATAATGGAAAGTTGAAAAGTATGATGGATAAATAAAACATCATGTTTGGTAAGAAAATCAAATAGGAATGATAGAAAAGTGGAAATATTAACTTTCCTTCCAACTCACCAAAATCAATTCATCCAAAATCGGAAGAAAAGTGGATTAAAAATTAATTATTTATGTTGAAATGTATCTTATTTGACTATATATCTCTTAATATCTATATAATAAACGACCTTACAATTCAAATTTTAAGAGATTAACAAAATGACTTTTATTTTTTACAGTTCAAATCTCTTTAAATTTTATTTTAAAGTTAATCTAACCGCTAATATTAACACTCTAAATTTAATAAGAAAAATAGACCCCTAAGGTTGTGTTTGGAGTGACTTTTTAAAATTATTTATACGAAGTATTTCTCATAAGTACTTTAAAAAAAATAGTATTTGAAACCACCCCACCACTACCTCTACCACCACCACCACCGTCGCCGCCGCCACTACCACCACCACCCCACCACTGTCATCGTCGTTGTCACCACCACCACTACCTCTACCACCACCACCACCACCGTCATCGCCATTGCCGTCGCCGTCGCCGTCACCACCATCGCCAATGCCGCCACCTCTGCCACAGCCACCATTGCCGCCACCACCACCGCTGTCACCACCATTGCCACCGCCACCGCTACCACCACCACCACACCACTGTCACCGCCACCACCAACGCCGTCGTCGTCACCACCACCACCACCACCACCGTCGTCGCCGCAGCCACCACCGCCATCGCAACCACTATCGCTATCATCATTGTCGACACCACCACCCCCACCACCACCACCACTACCACCGTCACCGCCATCGCCACCTCCATCGCCACCGTCATCTCCATCGCCACCATCTTTGTCCCCGCCACCCCTCACTGCCATCGCCACCGCCATCGTCACCACCACCACTGTCGCCACCATCACCACCACCGTCGCAACCGCCACTACCACCGCCGCCGCCATCACTGCCACCACCACCACCACCATGATCATTGCCACCCACTACAACTATCACTGTTTCCTACCACCACCACTACTGCTCACCACCTTTCACTTCCACTACAACCGATGCTTAAATTCATTTATCTCTTCTTTATGTTTGTGATTTGATTTTGGATATGAATACAAATATGTTTATTGTTTATCATTTTTTATTACTCTGTACCTTCAAGCACATGCAATAACTATATTAATTTCATATAAAAATACAATGATAAAATATGTATTTATATATATATAATTTTAAAAAATTTAAAAATAAAATTAAAAATTAAAAATTAAAAAAAATATTTAAATTAAAAAAATATTTTTATCATCTTAATTAGAGGTCAAAATTTTTGACTCAACACGATGACACGACTTGAACTCGTCACGAACTTGATTATAACTCGACACAAACTTAAAAATGACCTGACACGCGAACAAGAAATATAAAAAAGTAATATTCAGTTCAACTAGTCAAACTCAAAATTGACACCATCAACCTGTTTATTTAAAAATAAATATTTTTTCTATTTTCTCGTTTGTACGGTAACACAAAATTAACATGAAACTAACATGTTTAACTAATACTATAGACATAAAATGTTAATTATTTGTAACTATTTATTAAATACTGACATAATTATTATATAAAAAAGATATTTTTACTCATTATTATTATATTTATTTAAATTAATTTTTAGTTTGTAGAAAAAATAATAACGTGAATTCAATTAAGTGAAAATAGAATATTAACGTTAAATTTTTTATTCAAAGTTTATTTAGATTAATACAAACACAAATATGACACGAAAATAAACAGGTCAACTCGCAATTCGACATGACACAGTTAGTTAAATGAGTTGAGTTAAGTTTAACTAATATTCGACACAAACTCATAATGACTCAACACGAATTTGATACACACGATTCGATTGTCACCCCTAATCTTAATCAGCACAAAAAAAAAATTGTCATTTTTATTTTTCATCCATCCAACCAAATACAAAGGAAAGAAAGTGTATCATTCCTACTTTCCTTCCTTGAAAGATAGAAAGTATATCACTTATATTTTTTATCCTCTCTACTTTCCATCGTTCTTACCAAACCAAGCGCATAAGTTAAATGTATGCAACAACTGGCTAGTCTACTATAGTTTTCTCCTTCGGGTGGCGCAGATAAACTACTCCTGTTCATGCACTAAATTGCACTAATACCTCCCAAGTTTTGATGATATAACATGGCGTTAGCCTTCCTGTGTTGGCTCATTTGAAAAGAAAGGAACCATGTTGTCTTTGAATGTGCCTAACCCATATGAGTTGTAAGGAAGGCCTTTGAAACACACCAGGAATTCATATCTGCTCAATTGCAGCACTGCTTCCTGCTGCTCAAAACCAGATTCTATACAATCTACTTAGTCCATGATTCAAGTATGTCGGATCAGTCATCAATTCAAACGGGACTGACATACACCGGTCGCGGCATCACACGACAACATCGGGCAATACCACAAAATGTTAAATAGAAGAAATTGAACATAAGGAAAAATTCTAGCCATATCGCGACATCGAATGAGACTCTTAATTTACACAAAACGTGGAATATTATTAAAATGAAAGATGTGAAGTCAAATACTACTCAATCAAGTTATATCAATTAATATCTACCGAATGAACTATGTTTCAATTCTCTCCACCTTTGTATTCAAAGAATAATATGCATTTGAATCGTAATTTTTAAATTTTATTTAGATTGCATAGCATTTTTCATTGCCAAAAGCCAATTGAGATGGGGCTTATAGACTATGGATTTGATAAAGGAGTCTATGGATTAAAAGGTAGGGACAGGAAGAAACATACTGTTCCATTAAGCTGGGGCACTCTACAGCTCCAGAAGGTGAATCAGTTGCAATACGAGAAGCAACCTACCGGAACCAGGCTTTAATGAGGTGGCTGTCGAATCAGATTCTAACTCATTAATACGAGTCCTAAGAGAGAGATTGGCAAACCAGTGTGGGAACTTAAATGAACTGCTTATGATGTACAGGAAACAGGTGAATAAAGCAGCCCATTGGGTGGCTGCAAGAAGGTTTAGTTTTTCAAGTGCACTGGTGAGAGAGTATGCAATCTATATACAGAATTGGAATTAGTATGTTAAAGAGGATTTGACAAACGTTGGATTGATTGTAGGTTCTATCTAATATCGGAACTCATAATTAATTTAATAATTATATTAAAATCACGTCATTAAGTACTAAGATTAAGTCCTTGTAGCATTGGTCTTTCATCTATACTATTTTATATAATCGAAATTTGAATTTTTAATCACAAAAAAACAAAAATAAAAATAAAAGAAGACTTACGCTGGGGATGCATATTAATTGGATTCTCTCTGGGACCACTCTGTGTGTTCAACACATGACCTTTCCCCACTGATAACCAACTACATCACTTTCATTCGTATTGGCACCATCTCATTATTGTACTTGAGTAGGGGTAAAATTTGGTTTACTGAAATGTGGGTCTCACGTGATCATTATTAAGTAATATTATTAATTAATTAAAAATACAAAAATACAAAAATATGTCTATTAAAAGTAATTATTTTAATAAGAATACATTTAATAATTGTCATGTTGGATTAAGTGGGCGGGATTGGCTAATTCTATTTGGTAATATATAATAAGTGGTGGGAATAAAGCATACCATAATAATGGCATATCCCTATAGTGTGATCCATTTATCAATATATTATTGATTTCGAAAAATTTAACTTAATATCCTGATATGATATGTCGATGTGGCACATAATGTGGTCTTATTGAAGTAGTATGCTAAAATACAAAATATGCCTATTAAAACTAATTATTCTAATAAGCACCACGTTTAGTAATTGTCACGTTGGATTAAATAGGCGGGATTGATTAATTCTATTTGGTAACATGTAATAAGTGGGGGGACTAACGCATACCATAATGATGTCATAAATATCCTTATTGTATGATTAATATTATATATGGTTTTATTAAAATAGTCTAACAAATTGTGATTATAAAGAAGTTATTGCATCCTATCAGCAATGGCATCAACATTACTCTTAGTGCATTTGAGTCTTTACTGATTTTTTGACATTCAGGCATACCCATCCAACTCCCATCAGTCCAAGAACATGATAGCATCCTTTTCTTTTTACTGCACAACAGATATACATGAACTAATACATATCAATCCAATTCCAACCCTACTGTCTGACAGCGATTTGGACTTTCTCTCTCCCTGTATCCCCACCATAGGAGTGAAATTAAAGACAACTCACGAGCAATTTAATAGATTTGTTTTGAAAGTTCAAAAAAAGGCTATCCACAAACCCTAAACATATTGACCTTATATTATATACAGACCAGGCCAAAACAAGAGCATAAAAACAAATCTGAGAGACCACAACGCAAAATTGTGGTGGAGATCCAACCTCTCCACACTCCACTTTCACTGCCAAAAAGCTGCAAGACCAGACCGACCCGGTAACACTCATTGCCCCCTCCTACCTATATCTCTGTTAGATTTGCCGGAGAACCACTCTCTCTCTCTCTCTCTCTCCTCAAACGTTTTATACAACTTGGTGGTGTTTCATGCAATATATAAGCTGACAAGCAGTTGCACCACAAAGTTTGTGTATTTATTAGTCTTTATAGGGCTCATTTGAATTGTTGATTTAGTTTACAACTTCGGAATGCTTGCTGTGTCGCCTTTTAGGAGCGCCATCGATGGAAGAGAAGGAGAGATGGAGAATTTCTTGATCGGAGATGGTGATTTCCTTGAGTTTTCCGGTGGAAATTTGCTTGATATTATTGATTTCGATGACCTTTTCGTGGGCATCAACGATGAAGATGTGTTGCCGGATTTGGAGATGGACCCAGAAATTCTTGCTGAATTCTCAGCTAGTGGAGGTGAGGAATCTGAACTGAACACATCGGTATCGGTTGAGAAGGTTGAAGACGATTCGGTGAAAGAGGAAGACAATTTTTCGGGTTCAGGATCAAGCTTGAAGCAAGGTGAAGAAATTGTGAGCACGAGAGATGAATCTGTGGCAGTAAATGGATCGCCAAAGAAAGCTGATAAAGGAAGAAAAACATCAACACAAGCTAAGAATACTCAAGGGAAGAGGAAGGTGAAGGTAATTTGCACTGAGTTCAAGCTAAAATCAGCTAGATAGATAAGTTTTTTGTGCAATTAAAGGCTTATGTTCATGCACCACAGTCCTAATTCATATGGAACAGTCCCATCCTTTCTCTCTCTCTCTCTCTCTCTCTCTCTCATACTCATGGTTTTTCTCAAACCTCATGGGTTGCAGAAACCTCACGAGAATCATGGCGTTTCTAAATCACACTGAGATATTTATTAGTATCAGAACAAACTGCCCCTACTTTATTGCCAAATCAATAACGCCGTGTTAGAATTTGGTTTTAGAGAGAGAGAGAGAGAGATTATGTGAAGACAATGGTATGATTTCTTGAAGTGTGTGTAGGTGGATTGGACACCAGAGCTGCACAGGCGATTTGTACAAGCAGTAGAGCACCTGGGAGTGGATAAGGCAGTCCCTTCAAGAATTCTAGAGCTTATGGAAATAGATTGTCTCACTCGCCATAACATTGCCAGCCATCTTCAAGTATGTACATAATGTCCTTTCCCTCCATTAACTGGTTTTTTGTTTATTTATTATTTGGGTACTTCCATTTTCTTTTCATGTATACATGTTTCTTAGCTTTTGGTGAAGTAATCACGAGTTCCCTTCAAATGCAAAAGGACATGGAAGATGCTATCTTAGTGAGCCCCTCATTCTCTCCCAGTGAGTGATAAAGGGTGTCTTGCTCTTTGTTCTATCTGCTGGTACTACTTTTTTTGAATTTCTTTGTAAGCACGACAGAACGACGGTTTTCTTTTACAGAAGTTTTTTCAGATCCCTTTCGGGGTATTTACATATATATGTATATAGGGGTTTCAACCCCTTAGAATTGTTTTTGTTATGGAAAATAAGATTCAAGATAAGTTTATACCCTTTATAATTTCACATATTTTTTAATATGTATGTAACACTCTAGGGTGAAGAATGTATGATTTGGAGATTTAAGATTTTGTTAAGTTATTGAATATATAAATGTTAAAGTAAGTTTAAATTTGATACATGTATGTACAACAAGAACTGTAGCTATCCAAGTTTTGTTTCCTTCCATTTGTTTTTTTCTCAAACCAGATGGATCATAAAGCTGTTTCATAAACACATTTATCTTGTTCCAGCATAGAGTAAATATTTTTGAAAAAGAACGATAATACCAACTAGCTAGAGTTTTTATAACGGTCTTATTAAAGTATAAATATTTAAGTATAATCCGTCTAACAACTAAGTTTTAGGTGAGATGCTGGTTTAGAACGCTTGAACTTAAAATTTTCAAATCTTACTATCACACTAAGAATTAAGTGATTGTATGCATAAAATATTTGGTTACTAATATTATCTAATAAGAGTTCGAGAAAGTACCCTGTATGCTTTGTAGCAAAAAAAAAAAAAAATAGGATTCTTGAACGAGGAACAAAGGGGATTTCATACCATCAAAATTTCACCATGAAGTCAATTTGAGAAAACTTTCCTTCTTACTTATCATGAAAAAAAATGTTTATGCTGTACCAGTAATATCCTTGGTGTTGATGAATTTATGGATTTTATATGATGAATTTATGTTAAAAAAAAAAAAAAGATGTCTAAATTGAGCAATAAAAATAAAGGAAAATGATAATTTCTGCAGAAATATCGATCCCATCGGAAACACATGCTAGCTCGGGAAGCTGAGGCAGCAAGCTGGAGCCAAAGACGGCGACTGTATGGCGACGGCGCCACCGGTAGTGGAAACAAGAGGCAGATGAGCCCTTGGCTAGCTCCCACCATGGGCTTTCCTCCAATGACACCAATACACCATTTTAGACCCTTGCACGTGTGGGGTCATCCATCCGTCGACCAATCGTTAATGCACAAGTGGCCCAAACATCTACCCCATTCACCTTCTCCTCCTCCGCCACCGCGGCCACCTACATGGCCACTAGCTCCAGCTCTTCATCCTCCACCACCACCACCATCAGACCCTTCTTTTTGGCACTCACCCCACCGACGGGTAAGCAATCTCTCTCTCTCTCTCTCACACACACACACACACATTCATTCTCATTTGGCTTACTCTTTTGCTGCAGGTTCCAAATTGTCCAACGCCGGGAACAGCTTGCTTCCCACCGACAATGGCACCAATGGTAACTACACATCCCTTACACTTGCAGAGAATTTTTTGATTCCAAATACCCAAAAGTTTGGGCTTATCCACAACATTTTTGTCCTATGAGTATTTCTTTATGAATAAAGTTATATTACAAAAAAAAAAAACAAACATTTTGGTGCCATATAAAATTATGGGTTAGCAGCATTTTTAGTCTCTAAGTGTATATGTTTTGTCGGTTTATTTCTTATTTTATTAATTTTTTTCTAAAATTATTCAATTGATGTCATTTTGATTTTTATACAGACTGACTGTTAAATTTTTAATGAAATAAGCATTTGTTAGGCACGTGAATTTATTTGTGTAAGTAAGTGTGAAAATAATGACAACATAAAATAATAAGGTAAGACATGTTTATACATGTGACGAGATTTCATTAGACAGAAAAATGGTACCAAAAATTATCTTTACTGTATTTTTGACTGACTTGGTCACAACTCATGCAGAGATTTCCCACTCCGTCTGTCCCAAGCATTGGTGTCCCGACTACCCCAACTGGACAAACATACTCCCATACTCCATTAATCGACTTGCATCCGGTGAGAATGCCAATTACATTCTTCCCTTGTGGTGTTACTGTAATCTTATGTGGACCTACTTCTTGCACTAAATTATGAAAGTTGTTAGATTAATGGGTAATTTGATTCTTTATGAGAGCTGTTGAATTAGTGAGTCCTATTGATTATTAATACACGAGAGCAGCAATACTACTTGGACATAAAATACTAACATTATTAATTACTAGGTAAAACAATTAAAAGTTTTCTTATTATGATTAGTGTAAGCTCCGAGATTTGAATAAGTGTTGAGTATTCTTCAAGGCCAGTGTCGTATATGAGTGTGTGTGTGTGTGAGAGAGAGAGAGAGAGAGAGAGGTAGTCTTCACCCACCATGTAGAGTATGAGCAGAGTAGGAGGGAATTTATTGACCTGTTTTCCACTTTTCCTGCAAAAATTATTTGATGTTTGTTGGATAATCAGCTTCTCTCTTCTAAAAAGTGGTTCGAAAGACGAATTTGAAGTACCTTAGAATATATTTTTATGGGGACAAAATTTGTACGATTTTAGAATAATTATTTCTGCCAAATATATTGAAATTTGACTTTTAAATTCTCCCTCTTGAATGTATAACAGTCGAAGGAGAGCGTAGATGCAGCAATTGGGGATGTTCTATCAAAGCCATGGCAGCCACTTCCTCTTGGACTAAAAACTCCATCCACTGATAGTGTGTTGGTGGAACTGCAACAACAAGGAATTTCAAAAATACCACCAACTTGCGCTTGAACACGATGCATATCCAACGATACAAGACTTTTTTTTGAGTTTTTAAGCCGAGAAAAAATTCCTCAATTCGACGACATTTCCATAATTTAGATTTTCTCATGTAATTTGTGAGCTTTTCACCCTTTGTCTTGCACTTGTATGTCCCTTGTTCTTGTGTCCATGTGTGCAAGAACAACTTAATTTAATGTCTTAACCATGGGTCATGAAACACAAAAACATCTTGTAATCTTTTTATATGAGGTTTTAAGCTTTTTCTCTCCCTTTGCAATCTTGCTAGGTTTCGTTTTGTTGGGTTTTTGTGGAGTCTAGTTTGTGTGTTGATCCGGATGATAACCTAATCCGAAATAATGTTGCGTAACTTTTAATGGAAAATTTTTTGAGGCTTGATCCATGGAGCGAAGGCTTAGACCACCGAAACGCAGGACATATAAAAACCGCTACTTTGGTTTTTAGGATTTGATTGTAACTAATAGCCGTCCTCCGTATTCGGATCTCTTAATAGTGAAATCCCTGCAACTTCGTGGACGTAGGTAAAATTGTCGAACCACGTAAAATTTTTGTGTCTTGTTCTTTCTTATTTCTTATTATTTTATGTTTTTGATTTGTTTTTCGATTGTGTATGTTTGTCTGTGGATTTAAAGCGTGTTAAATCCCAACACTTTTGGGAGCTCCATTTATTCATTTTTGACAGTAGCATTTGAAATTTCTTGTTCTTTTTTCTGCATATCATGGACTGGATATGGGTGGTAATTTTTCCACTCAAACACATAACAAATTCTTAGGAAAAATCCACGGTACCAAAGCATAACATACCGAAAAAATTATAATCCAATGAATTTCAGATCTGATGAGATCAAAGTTACCAAAGGAGTCTAAAAACTTGAGTTCAATCTTGAAAGGATTTGGTCCCAAGTTTTTTGGATCGATCTTGTGTACTACTAATAAAAATCACTTACATTCAAAAAGATTTGATTGCCAAACATGCTCTTATTAAAAGAGTTAATGATACCATTTCCCTTTAATAATTCAAAAAACATGAATAACTGTTCATTCTTATAAAAATCACTTTAAAGCAATATTGTTATTTACAAATTCAAATAACATTAATATTCATCATTCATCTACTCTCTCTCTCTCTCTATAAAAATACTTTAAGACGATATTAATTTTTATTCTTCAAGTAGATTTACCACGTATAATCTTCTTAAATTATATAACATGGTATTGATGATATTATTATATATGTGGATAACATGAGGTATTATTTAATTTAATTACACATATAATTTGATAATGGGTATTTTGGCACGAGCTCGGAGGAGCTCCAGCTTGCCAGTTCGCTCGTCCCTAACCTAGCGGAGTCCTATCTCTTCACGACTATAATTAATTCAACTCAGCCGAGACTCCTAGTCCAACAAAGAGTCCTATATCTCTGCCTCCGTTAAATTTTTTATGGAAAGTGCCAGAGTATGTCATTCAAGGGACCCAACAACAACTCATTTGTGTTATGTGAGTGACACATTTTCCCACTTTTCTTTAAAAAATGTAACGGAGGCAGACATAAGGGCTCAATCCACACAATTAGAGAGTTTAGTGGTTCAATTGACCCCAAACAAAAAAAAACATTTTAACCTAATTAGTAGTAAATTTATTCCATTTTGTTGAAACTTCAACCTATTTTATTGCAGCTTTTTTTAAACTTAATAATGATTGCTATGGATCCACATGGTTGGATCGATTTTCTAGACCTAATATTTATAGTAGTAACTCAATCTCATTGAGCTATAACCTTCCCATTTATGGCTAGTAATCTTAACCACATTTGATAGCACATTCATTCGATTGGTATTTTAATTGCATGTAAGGCTGATAAATCGATTTGAGTTTTTTGAATTTAAGCTAACTCTGTCAAACTTTTTTTTGAATTTAAAAAAAAATTATTCAAACTTGATTCGAATTGAGCCAGCCTTGAGTAATTTAACTATTTTATATCTCAACATCTTTATAAAGCTCTAATAATTGATTAATTCCAAGGCTAAAGATGGCATCGAACGTTAAATAAGGAAGGCATCGAACGTTAATACGCAGAGAATGATCCCATCGAACGTAAGAGAAGGATCCCACCGAACGTTTTCCAGCATTAATAAGGATGCCATTGAGTCGAGTATAAAAACTTGTTAAAGTTTGACTTGTTTAAAAAAATAACTGAACTCGAGTCGAGCTCAAGTAATTCGATCGATTATCTGCCTTAATTGCATCCTATATTTTTTTGTACCTT